ATTTATCCATCGTCATTGGTGGCCATGCTAACTCGCCTTAGCATTCACAACAGGCTAGGCTAGCTGCAGCATAGCAGAAAGCAAGGAGGTGATTGACAGCGCTAAGACCCGCCTCCTGGCTCTGATTGGTTGTTTCTGGAAGACGACAGAGAAGCTCAATTTTCTCTCGCACCATCCTGGCACATCACAAAAAACATGTTTATAAGAGTTACACACTGCAGCTTAAAGTATAACAATTAATACTCATAAAATTAAGATTTTGTTTCCCAAATTTGACTGTAGATCAGTTTAACAAAAGAACAGAAGTGGATGATGGAAACAAACAAAATGTCAGCTCAGTAACCAAAGCCACTTTTAAGTTGAAAGAATGCTTTTAGCCTCAGAGATAAAAGCTCTGCTGGAAATCTGTGCTTCTTATTCTCTGGTGTAGAGAATCGAGTTCAGGTAGATGCCAAAAGCGGCACATTGAAAGCCGCAGAATTCCTTTAGTCCGCTTTCACAATGCTCATATTCTCCCCCGCTCCCATATCAATTCAGAGGATCATCCCTGAAGGAGAAAAGTGGGAAAGCTCCTGAGCTGGAGGGGAGATGAGGAGCCCTTTGGTTGACCCCAGTGGTCCAGCAGAACAATGGAGACCACCATCAAGGTCTGCGTCACAACCGCTGTCAGAGAGACGGAGCAGTTCGCTGGAGAGATACGAGCAGCAGCAGCTTCCTTTACAGCCATGTGCAACATTTTAAAGTCGATGACAGTCGCCTTCAGCGCCCCATAAAGGAGCTTTTGTACGAGGGTCAATCACTGCACTGTATTAAAGAATGTGAGGAGGAGGCAGAGAAAATGAGAGTGCTGAAAGAAAAGACACTTTGGCATTCTTTGGGATTCAGGTGAGAACTGATTGTGGTTTTCAAGACATTAGGATTAAAATTACAACATTAAATTCAGAGGCGGTAGAGAACCCACAAATTATATGAAATAAGTAAGAGTGGCACTATTTTAACATATTTTTACTCAAGTAAGAGTAAAAAAGTATTTGGTAAAAAAATCTACTCAAGTACTGATCAGTTATTTAATATTAAAAAATTACATCATCACCACACAGACTAAAATATAGTTCAGAGGAAATTTTGGTATTTTAAAACACCAAAATGAAAGCAATTAATATAAGTAACAATAAATAAATAAAATCAGGCAAAAGTAATTTTTTCCAACTCAGCTTCTTTCAATAAAAAACTAACAAAAACTGCAGGTGTGTGTCTGGTGAATTTGTTTAAAACATGTTTTTTACTCTCTGGGTAGAAAATCCAGACGTTTTACTCAAACAAGAGCAGAAATACTTCCTAATAAAATTACTGAAGTAAAAGTAAAAAGTACAGCATAGTAGAAATAGTCTTAAGAATATTTTTTTTTTCAAAAAAGTAACTCAAGTAAATGTAAAAGAGTAGATGTAACTAGTTACTACCAACCTGATTACATTAGAGAAGCTCTGTGTGTTTATGAGCAGAGAATCAATATGCCACAGATTAAAATGACCAGCAATGCATCAAAACTGCAAGAAATTTATGCCAACTTTTATTTGTTGTGATCTTTATAACATAATTAAAATGAGGAGGAAAAAACAGGTCATAATCGGTTTTAGTTGGTTAGACGGAAAATCGGTACCAGAAAAGAACCCGATCGGTGCATCGCTAGAGAGAAAATCCAAAAACTTGTCTCTCCAAGGAGTAAAGACAAGTTTCCTGCCTTTGCAGCTCAAAGTCCGGCCCATTGAGCCGTACCTGGAAAACATTTGCATGGCACCCGCAGGATAGTTTGTTCAATCAGCAACAAACACCATATGACTTTAAACATAATCCTGCTTAACCCGCAGCAGCGCTTCATGAGATTGTCTGCTCTGCTCGCTGCACGACCGCTTAGACCAGAAACTGAACTTTAAAGTAATTAAACCAAATTACCAAATTAAACCGCAGACTAAAACACGATAACACTGCCTTAAAGTTTAAAAATTAACATGCATTCCCCAAAATAAATCGCCTTCAACTCACCAGACGCCAAGTGTCTCCCAGGCTGCTCTTCTTCTTCTTCGGATTGAATTCAACTCCTTGCTAACTCCTCCAGCCGTTTTTAAACTCCAGCTCCTCAACGGGTGGAACAATAAATTCCCACAAACTCGAACTAAAGTTAAAGTTTATCCCGGTGGGTCTGGATCCCGTCTGCAGCAGAACCAGCAGCTTCTTTGTACTGTCCGCTCCGGTCGGTGGGTCGGTCGGCTCAGAAGCGAGGTGAGCCACGCTCATGCGCAGTAGCTGCTCGGCTGAGTACGATGGGCGTAATGAAGGTCAGTCAGTCAGTAACGCAGGTGTAGCTTACCTGTCGACAGCATGGCCTACTTTTACGGACTGGGCCATGAAGTAATGAAGAGCTTAACTGGACTATTTACTATCCCCCCGGTTTAACTGCTAAATAACTCCGCGTGAACCAAGTGATGCGTTTCTTTCGCTAACTTGTCATGTCTAAGCTAACATAACTCCTGTGCAAGATATTGTTGTTTAACAGCCAGTGTAATACATTTTGTGAAACAAAAACACAACTAAATTAAACAAACTAAAGAAAATTACTTTTCAGTACTTTCGATTACCTGGCAACAAGACCACCGTATGATACACGTTTCTCCTCCGCAATATAATATAGTTCCCAGAACGTTAAACTTATTTCCAAATTCGAACGGATCATTTTTGGCGGATTGATATCAGTGTTTATATATTTTTATGACTGGAACTAAATTCCCTCCTGAAACTAATTTTATAGTTTTTTTCCCCCTATCAACCCATAAAAATAAGTAAAAACATCCCATTCAAGTAAATGTTGCCTAGGTTCACATACATAAAACATTACATGCTGATTATATTAGAGATAAATTCTGAATCCAGTCTACTAAAGCCTCAAATTAAGCAGATGGTTTAAACTGAAGTAAACTGGATGTTGGGCGCCATCTTGTGTAGGTTTTATTTCACCTCCGTTTGACGAAGGTAAAACTTGAAAACACAATGACTTGAACAACTTGTTATAATTAGCATTTATCCTTTCCCCAACATTTTAAGTTTTTATTTTGTACTAATCTCAAAAACCACATCGTGTTATGAATTTAAGTTTTTTTTTTTGTTTGTTTTTTTTTGGCACTGGTAGGGAGAGAAATAACATTTACAGAAAAGTCTGGGTTGATTGCGATGCATGGGTTTTCTTTCCCTAAAACTGTCACAAAAACACTGCATTTTGAATTTTCTAATGTTGGATTTTAAAATCTGTTTGATTACGTGTCAAACTTACGGCCCGGGGGCCAAATCCGGCCCGCCATGTCTTTCTACTTGGCCCTATAGTCTGGTAAAGGCCTACTGAGTAAAGTTATCTTTGTTTATTGTTTTATGCTTTTAATTTGGTAACTTTCTTGTTAAGGTAGCATGGTAATGGAATACAGTTCTGTCTGCGAAGGTTAACTGCAATAAACAGAAAAAAGGACAAGAAGCAACTCAATATCAGCTTCAGCCAATAAGAGAACAAGGTGAGTAACTGGGATTGAAGTTTATTTGAGTAACTTGAAATGCTGATTGCTTGTATTAATGGAAAAAATATATATAATGGATACATAATAACAACAGATGGTGAAAACAATCATAATTATAATTATTAATTGTTCTTGTCAAGCTTTTGTGTTGATGAAAATGATGATTTATTATGGCTTTAATAAATAATAATTCAACCATCACTTGGCCTTCTCAAAATTGACTGGATGCTGCAATCTGTGTAATACCAATTTACATCAGTGTGAAAATATGATCAATATTTTTAGCTTTAAGAAATTTTCATTGAATGTAGAGACAATTATTTAATAATATTGTAACAGTTTGTCAATGGGTAGTTTTGTCACATTCTGTCACATGAAAATGAGTTTGACATCCCTGATTTAAATGATATTACTGATACTTTTACTGCTATTCTTTGGTGAAATCCCATGCAATTATTCAATGAAAAAAGCTGAAAAACTGCTGATATGTGCAGTTTAAATATCTGTATTTATTGACTCTTTATCATTTTTAGCCAAACTTATCAGGAGCCATTGTGGAAAGTCTGAAGAACCTTGCAGTTGGCATTTATCGTATTGGTTATCATTTATTGTATAAACTCTAGCACAAAAAAAAAAAAGAATTTTTATTTATTCAATAAATTGGGATTGTTTTACTATTTCCTTCAACCCTAACCCTACCCATTCAAAATAATTTTTCCCCAACTCAGTTTCTTCCAGTATAAAACTTAGGAAACTTTAACAAAAAAAACTGCAGGTGTGTGTCTGCTTGTGGTGAAAAAAATCCAGAAAATTTACTCTAGTAAGAGTAGAGATACTTCATAATAAAATTACTCAGATAAAAGTGAAAAGTACAGCGTAGTAAAATATTTTTAACAGAGTTACACAAATAAATGTAACTAGTTACTGCCCAACTTTGGCCACAGATGAAGACGGATTTTTCTGTACCATTAAGTTGTTTCTCCCAGTAGCACATTTAGGAGGGTACACTAGGATGATTGACAGCGATAAAACCCTCCTCCTGGCTTTGATTGGTTGCTTTAGATGGCAATAGTAGCACAGGGTGGAGGTGGGGAAGCTCGACCTTTTCACAGATTATCTGTCTCGAATTATACTGACAATTTTAACAGAAAAAAGGAAAAGAAAAAAAATCCGTTTTTGTATGAATTTCATTCTGCAGCTTTAGGTCTCTTGCAAAAGACTCTTGCAGCCAAACTTGTGCAGCCTCTTTTGTTCCAGTCACACTCCTCTGCTGATAGTTTATCAGTTTGTGACTTACAGAAAGTTTTGCACAATGTGGGTCAGTGTTCCCACCGGGCCACACCTCTCACGCAGGCCCGGATTGGCCCCGCATCTCTCACTCCCTCCGCCGGGTTCCGCCTCGCAGCGCATTTAAGTCCTGCAGCGTTTCCTCCAACTTCTGCTCCCGGACCACAGGAGGACCGCTGCCACCATGTCTGACCGGGGAACCTTCGACACCAACGTGGTCACCATGACCCGCTTCGTGATGCAGGAGGGCAGGAAGGCGAAGGGCACCGGGGAGCTGACCACGCTGCTCAACTCCCTGGGCACGGCAGTGAAGGCCATCTCCAGCGCGGTGCGCAAAGCTGGGATCGCCCATCTGTGAGTTCACCGAGTCAAAGACGCAGTTTTATCTGTAAAAACTACCGCACATTTTGCGCTTTGTGCAGCTGTTTTGTCTGCTTTTGTTTGCTGCATTCACGTCCACGTTGACGCACTGGCTGAGCAGGAGATTCAGGTTGTTTATGCACCAATCAGGAAGCGCATACCTCCAACCATTCACGGCTCATTTTCACTCCAATCTGCCTTTTTGAAGACCCCAAATCGATGCATTTGCATCTATTTTCCTTAGTAATGATCTAGAAATGAAACTTCGGCCACAACAATTTAATTTTATTCTAATAGAAACAACGAACCTCCTGCTCTGTTTCAAGTTCAGTTTTATTGTTGAAAATGGGACGTCTGGAGGTGGGCGGAGTACACAAAAAATCCCAAAGTCTGTGTATTAATGAACATTTACATGTAAGAATAATGCAAGTTTATTTATAAAGCACTTTAAAACAACAATGTTGGCCAAAGTGTTGTACACTAAAACAAACATAAAAACAAACCCATCAAGTAAAACATTAAAATCAACATCTCAAACTAAGTCTAAAGTCAAAGAAAAGATTTAAAAAGAGGAAGTGAACTTTTTAAAGTTAAATTATGTTTAATCAATCTAAAATTAGACAGTTTAAATTTCATTTTCATAATTTGTATCACTTGTTTAAAACAACAAGAGATCATCCCTAAATATTTGAATTCTTCTGTTTTTAGTTTGTTTTTTTGACACAAGACGACATCATCTGCGTACATCTGGCAGGTTAGCTTTGCTGGAAAATATTCCAGTAAATCATTAATGAATAAGCCAAAACGCAAAGGTCCCAACAGCAAACCTTGTGGCACACCATGATTATTTTTTTATGTTTTAATCTAACACACTGAAATCTATGACTGTATTCAGTTTTGTTTGTCAGTCATAACTGCAGCAAAGCATGTGAAGTAACCATTTCCTCCTGCTCTGCTCACTGTTTCTGTTCTCTTTGTCTTTATCAGTTATGGGATTGCAGGTAACACCAACGTGACGGGTGACCAGGTGAAGAAGCTGGACATCCTGTCCAATGACCTGGTCATCAACATGCTCAAGTCGTCTTTCACCTCCTGCGTTCTGGTGTCCGAAGAGAATGAAGAGGCCATCATTGTGGATCCTGAACAACAAGTAAGAATTAATGTAAAATAAAACATAATAACACAAACAAACTGTTGTTTAATACAGAAAAGCAGCAAACATTTCTACTTCTCCTGCAATATTTTAGTTAAATCGTTGATTTGCATGATGGTGTGGTTGGTAACACTACTTTAGAAAATGTGCAAACACAAAACAAAAGCAATAAAATGCTGCTTAGCTTTGGTTTTGAAATCTCAGTAAACATTATTATGAACATTGATGCTCAATGACAGTCGGCTTATATCATCACGTAATATTTCCCAGAAGCCCTTGGAGGTTTATATTTATTCTTTAAATTTGAAGAAACTGTTTGAGATGTGGTCTGTAAAAATATTATCCTGTAGAAAATGATTAATTTTATGTCTTTTCTTGTTGTTTTCAGGGAAAATATGTGGTTTGTTTTGATCCTCTGGATGGCTCCTCAAACATCGACTGCCTCGTCTCCATTGGAACTATATTCGGCATTTACAGAAAGGTTACAGCAAACCGTTAAACTCTTGCATTCATGCACTTTTTTTCAGAAAAAGATCAACTGAAGACAAACTTTCATTTGATTAGTCTAAATTATGAGCTAAGCTTAAAATAAATTACTATATAAGCAAGAACTGAAATTAACATACTTGTTTTGTAACCTTAAAGGTGACATGTTATGTTTCCTTGAGTGGGCTATACAAAACATATTCATTACATTTGTGACACAATCATTCTTGGATAATGAGATATTAGTCTGCTCAGTTCTGAATAATTTGTTAAAGGGCCTCTTGTGACTGTAAATACAAATAATCTCAACATTTTACAGTCGCACATGAAAATGGCTGCAAACAGATGAGAAATTATACAACTGTACATCTTTGAACAGCAGAAGTGGAGCCTCCTGGACAACCATCAGCATGCAGCAAGTAGTTTCTGGACAGAAAGTCAACAACAAAATATAATACAGCACATGCAGCAGTAAAACCAGCTGACCAAATGTGAGAGATGACTGGAAGTCTGCTGGGGTTGCTAGGTAACGGGCGG